ATGAGAAGGCCAACAGAGAGAGAGAAAGCCTTCCCCTGGAGCTGACACCCTGAATTTAGGCTTTTAGGCTACTTCACTGTGAGGAAATAAACTTCTCTTTGTTGAAGCCATCCACTTGTGGTATTTCTGTTAGAGCAGCACTAGATGACTAAAACAATGGCAATGAGGATTACTCGAAGGAAAGAATGATAGCATAGTAACTATAAGCAACCCTAATGCCCTGGGTTTAGTCTCTATATATCATCCCCCATTAAAAATAACCAGAACTTCTAAAGAAAGACCAATTCCAGACTTGGGGCAAGAAATGTACAAAATACGCTTGGAATATATCGTGCCAGGAAGCAAGAAAACTTTCTAAGACTAATGAGACAATAAAAGCAGGTTAAAAGAACCAAAATAAAATACTACTACTACCCATATTTACAAAGAAAACATTGATTCTCACCATATCTATAGCAAAAAGGCTGCTGTCATCCCAGATATCTGCTGAAACTGCATCACCAATAAGAATCATATCCTCTGCAAGCAATTCCAGAACTCTTATTATCATTTGTCTACTACCTAGGAATACAAATAGAAAAAACAGGTTAAAAAAAAAAGTTACTTAACTTTCAAATAATCAGCTGAATAGCATGTTGCTCAATTTTCTAGGTAGTCATGTCCCAAAATTCCTATTTCCCTTTTTTTATAATGTTTTTAGAACTGCTGAAAGAGATAAATAGGGAAGTCATAATCTACAACCACCATTAAAGACTTCTGTTCTGATCATACTATTCAAATACAATAAACCAAATGTACTCACAGATGCGAAAGACATTTGAGAATAGCAATAATCTAACTAAAAATACTGTGAGATTGATTAAAATAAATTTTAAAGTTCAGAAACCAACTATTTTACATGTAGTAAGTGACAAAGAACGAGGTAAGTCTGAAAATGCATTCTCCTTCCTACTCCAAAGACCACATAATTTCCTATTTAGTATCAGAGGGCTTAACCCCCGTTATAAATGAGCACTTTCCCATTCAGGAGCTGCCAGGGAGGCTCAGCTTGGTCTGGGGCAACTAAAGGAATAAATTTCCATCCTGGCATTTGCTGAAGAAACTTCAAGAAATTTCCATTTGAAATGTTCTCAAGCCTATGCCCAACCTAAATTCAAAAAAAAACTGCAAAAGAAATTTGCAGTTGTCAGAGTCACAGCCACAAAATCAATCTCCCTTCTCCAAGGAGACTGAAAAAAGAATTTTACTCTCCCTAATACTAAATGAGATTAACAATCAGTGAAGACTTTCCTGTCCCACATCCCAAAGGCTAATTTCTAATGAATAAAAATAAAACAAACTAGCAGGACTTCAGGGTCCAGATGAATTTTTTCATTAGAACAGTTGGAGTTAAGTTTTCTTACCAATCTCTTCTGATATTCAACAACTACAGATTATGTAATAATTTACTATAAAAGGGCAAGAGAACATTTAGAAAATTTTATGTACCAAGATGATGTTAGGTGCCGTCAAGTAGGTTCCGACTCATAACGACCCCTTGTATAACAGAACAAAACACTGCCTGGTCCTGCACCATCCTCACAATCGTTGCTATGTTTGAGCCCACTGTTTCAGCCACTGTGTCAATCCATCTCGTTGAGGGTCTTCCTTTTTTTCGCTGAGCCTCTACTTTAACCAAGTATGATGTCCTTCTCCAGGGACTAGTGCCTCCTGACAACATGTCCACAAAGTATGTGGGCTGAAGTCTCGCCATCCTCCTCGCTTCTAAGCAGCATTCTGACTGTACTTCTTCCAAGACAGATCTGTTCATTCTTCAGGCAGTCCATGGTATGTTCAGTATATACATCATAATTCAAAGGCATCAATTATTCTGTCTTCCTTATTCACTGTCCTGCTTTCTCATGCATATGAGTTTATTGAAAGTACCATGGCTTGGGTCAGGCGCTCCTTAGTCCTCCAAGTGACATCCTTGTTTTTTAACACTTTAAAGAGGTCTTTTTCAGCAGATCTGCCCAATGTAATGCATCATTTGATTTCTTGGCTGCTCCTTCAATGGGTGTTGACTGTGGATCCAAGTAAAATAAAATCCTTGACAACTTCAGTATTTTCTGTTTATCATGATGCTGCTTATTGGTCCAGTTGTGAGGATTTTTGTTTTCTTTATACTGAGGTGTAATCTATACTGAAGGCTGCAGTCTTTGATCTTCATCAGTAAGTGCTTCAAGTCCTCTTCACTTTCAGCAAGCAAGGCTGTGTCATCTGCATATCACAGGCTGTTCATGAGTCTTCCTCCAATCCTGATGCCCCATTCTTCTTCATATAGC